TGATTTCATTTTTTCCAGATCCCCTTTTGTTGCCAGTTCAGTGGGTCCAGGTGGTTGAGTATCAGAGGGTTCCATCTCATTTCCCTTTGGGGTTACTGTAGGTGATCTGGAAGTCTGTTTTTGAGACTTATTTATATGTTTTCTCATTTCGACTGGGGCAGAGTACTGTTGCCGCCTGCACGGATTCCCTCCTCTGAGCTGGGTGAGGTGGGACAGGGGCCGGGAGCAGCAGTAGGGATGGTGACCCAGAAGCCCTTTCCTGTGGGCTGGGAGCAGCGGGAGGGATGGTGACTGGGAAGCCCCTTCCTCTGTACCAGGAGCAGTGGGACGATGGCTCAGAAGCCCCTACCTCTGGGCCGGGAACAGTGGGACTCAGTACCTTGGCCTGGTGGTCTGGTGTCCTCTGTGCCTTAGTAATGTTGAATCAGGTGGCTGCCTGTCTGCAGTGGGGTGATTTGGTGTCTTCTGTGTGACTCAGGACCTCGGTAGGGCGTGCACAGACCTGCCCGTCTGCAGGGGGCTGATGGCCTGTGTTCCGCAGGACTGGAGACCTCGGCAGGGTGTGGGCCGACCTGCCTGTCTGCAGTGGGGTGATTCGGCGTCTTCCCCGTGACTCAGGACCACGGTAGAGCGTGCACAGACCTGCCTGTCTGCAGCGGGCTGACATTTAATTATAGTCTTAAGTCAGGTATGTTAACATTTGATATTCTTGTTGAAGGGTGACTGTAGATTGCTGGATCAACTCAGCAATTTTTGTGTGTGTCCAATTGAGACTCATAAAATAGTGAATTGGATAAATGTATATACTTTATTTTATTGCTATTACTATTAAGAAAAAGTTAAAATAACCTGGTTGAAGTGTGAGTAATATTGACTACAGTTACAACTTTGCTGAACCTCTCATTTGACTTTGTGTTTGAAATTCAAAATTATGTATTTCCACAGAGACAAATCTTATCTTGACAAATGGAAGGCAGTGGCATAGTTGATGTCTTTTCCTCCCACCTCATATAGGCCTAGCCTCATGGAGAAAAGGTGAGGCATCCTTCATTAGCCTGAAATTAATTCAATTACAGGTTTGATCTCCTGCCCTCAAGTGGAGAGCTGGAAAAGTTCATTCAGATCTCAGAAGCAAGCAATGACTGTATCCTCCCAAATGTGCAGTTTGCTAGGCATTGGACTTCATTTGGAAGATGTTAATGGTTTCAAAAGCCTTTAAAAATAAAATGTAAAGGAAAGTAATCTACTTCCTTACAAATAACCTTCAAAAAGCATTACTGTAGCTTAACAGATGCTAAGACCTCAAATTTTTTAAGACTTTGGAGATTGACAACTTCTTCACAGGTCCACTCATTTGTCCATATTGTCCTAGATTTATCCTAAGGCACATTAAAGGATTAAGAAGGCCCAGTACCAGTAGGATCTCAAAGATGGAATAAATCGCTTCCATTTGAAATCAGAAATATGATGATACACTGTTTGCTTCTTCAAAACAGGTTTTCAGAGCCCCAAACTGAAGAACGTCTAATCAATTCTGTAAGGCAGGCGATTCCATAATTGAAACTTGATAGTTGTAATGTTCAGATCAGGCCTTTATCAGAACCTTCAACCCTGTAGCTTGTGTTTGGGATTGGGGATAATGATGTGCTGGCAAAGTTTCACTCTGCAGAAAAAAATAAAAAAAGATTTTCTGAAATGGGGTTTTTAATTTAGTTAAAGGAAAGTTTTCTGGAGAAATGAAGAGTTGTTTGATTTTTCCAGCTTTCATCCTTTGCTATAGATACACTGCTGAGGCAGATGAAATGCCTGTTCCTCAGGCACCAGCATCATCCTTTAATGACAAGCCATTAATTTTAGTTAAAAAGTTATGCTCTGGTCTGAATGCAGGAGATGGAGGGAGCATTGCCTGTAATCTCTTATGAAGAACATAGGAATCAGACCTTCAGAAGCATGCAAAGGAGAGAAAGAAAATACAGAGCAGATCTTTTACAATAGGGGGTCAGGAACTTATTCCGATTTGGGGACCTAACAAGTAAAGGAAAGGAGCACAGCTGGGCAGGGAAGGTGTCTAAGTGAATGCCTCTTGGGGGACACATCCTGTGAACTGCAGATGCATGTTGGATATGGGAAGGACCAGCAGCTGCTCAACTAAAGCCAATTTAGACTTCACAGAAAGGTGGGGCTCCATGATGCTTAATCTATGAAGTATTTTCAAAGGAGATAAAAATGCAGATTTTAAGTAAAACATACCCATATATAAATGTTTGCTCAGATGTATACAAGCATTAGATAGCCAACTCAAAAAATGGCTGAGGTAGGAATGAGACCCAGGGGCTGTCCTTTTTGCACCTCCAAATTTACAGTGTCAGGATTTTCACACCAAACAAGTCAGTTGTTACACATTGTTCTAATGAGCATCCTATGGTGCCAAAAGTCACACCCACACATACACACACACATACATGGAGGTCATCTCATAAACATAAGGTCTGACTGGAAAGAAATTGTCCCAAGATTCATGGGCACAGGCCTGAGAATGAAAAGTGAGGAATTTCAGTATCTCTCTGTGTCTTTTGGAGGCTACAGGGCTCTTGTGTTTTTGCCTTTCTAGGCACATTCCTGCATTTTCTCCTATGGATCGGCTTCCTCTGTCTGTTTCCAGGTGTTGCTGCCTCAAGTACATGACTTTTTAACTCCACCGCCTGCCAAGCATGGATAACACCTAGTCTGTCTCAGTCTAGAGAATCGGATTGGTTGAACCAAGCCAATGAATTGGTTCCTTTTGGGTGTAAAGCCTGCTAGTCCAATTAGCAATGGCTAGTCAGAATAAGGTGGGATGAAGTGCAGTTGAACGTAACCGTCTCAAAAGTCCATGGAGAGGTTAAATTAAAATAAAAGGGGAAGTTAGATATGGAAGTAAATTGACTGGCATCATATATAATACATAAACTAATGCTGACATTTTAAACATGAAACATTTAAATTAAGCAATTTGTGATCATTGAAGGAGGTGTAAGAAATTCTACAATGAGTGAACATAATGAAATTACCTCTAATCTCATTACTCAAAGTTCAATACAAACATTTTGGTATATTCAATTCCAGATTTTTTTCTTTGCATAGGTCTCAAAATGCTGCATTTAATAAGCACAAATCTTGAAAGGAGAATGAATAGGTCCATTTTTCTATAATTAGTCTGTTAAAATATATTTTAATGAACTAGAAAAATTCTAAGTAATATATTGTAAGAAAGACAAAACTATGCATGGTCTTTGATCCAGGAATTTCTTATTTAAAACTTTATTCAGAAGAAATTCTCAGAGATGTACACAAAGTTGTATGCATAAAGATATTCACCAATGAATTATTGATCATAGCCAGAGACCAGAAACAACAGAAATGTCTAACAATAAAGAATTGGATAAGAAAAGTGTGAAACAGGCACCAAATACAATATTTTGAGGCCAGTAAAAAATTTTGGAGACATAATTATTAAAGTAGAAAGGTTCACAATAAGCTGCTGAGCAGGCTACAAAAGTACAGGTGCAGTATGTACATAATTTTGTTAAGTCACATGCATATGAACACAATTTGGAAGGCACTCACCAAAACGTTGGTAATAGTGGCCTCCAGGTAGTAAAAAATATTTTTCCCTTTTATTTTTCAAATTTTTATAATATATTATATTGAGTATGTATTATTTTTATAATATGTCAACAAATCAACCCATTACACTTGATAAATAAAAAAAAATAAATTGTGACAAGGAGCTGTGTAAAAATAAAGAGTAAAATTAAGGCTGCCAATTAAGGCAGTGTTTAAACTCAATAAAGAATAAGATTGACATGAGGCTCCTTGATCAGAACTGCTTTTAGGAGCTAGTCCAGCTATCCAGTGAAGTTCAAGATATTTGCATTCCTTCCTTGCATAATATGAAATTGAAATGCATTATTGTTATTCTTTGATAATTAAGATTTTTTCAAGCTCTCTTTCTTACAGTTTTTTTCCCTGAGAAATTCTATTTTCTTTTCATATACTGAAAATAATATTGCCACATTATACAAAATTAGAAAAATAATAAAACAATGAAGAAGAAGAAAGATTTAGAGTTCTACAGCATTACCTTTCTGCATATCATTGAATCAAGTGAGATTGAGATGCATCTAAATCTGGCATACTTAGGGAATTAATCTTCCCATTGGTTTGGAAATGGGTTGAGATGTGTATGTGTGTGTTTCTTTTCCCTAAGGGTAAAACACAGCAAACAGCAACAAGAAAGGCAGCAGCAGAAGGGGCAGCAGCAATTCTGCTTAGTTTCTGAGACTGTTTCTGAGACTTAGTTTCTGAGTCTACAACACTGGATGGTAAATAATCAAGAGTTTGATTCCTTTGTAATAAATTCAAAGGCCAAGAAAGAATAAATTACCTGAACATTCTTGTGACTCTGTGGGGTCAGATATGATTATTTCATTTCATTTCTCTCTACCACTTTATTTTTTTGGATACAGATTACTCTATTAAATGGGTAAAAGATGGTCTCAAAGAAGGTTTGCAATGGCTGAAAAATGATGCCATGATGCTAAATGCTGAGGATGTTGAGTCCACCAAAAAATACAAAAGGGCCAAGGCAGCCTCTCAAATGGTTTAAGATTGCAGCCTATTTTGTTTCTTACAGTTTGTATTAAAATTAATGTATATATATTAATGTAACTAACATTGTCTCTGTGTGTTGGTCAACTTTCTGTAACTATTCTAAAATATCTGAGCTAATCAACTTATAAAGATGAAAGGTTTATTTTGGTTCATGGTTTCAATTCATGGTTGCTTGATGGCTTTGCCTTTGGGTTTGTGGTGAGTCAGAACATCATGATGGGAGCCCATGGCAGAGGGAGCTGCTCACCTCATGGCAGCCAGGAAGCAAAGGGTGGCAAAAAAGGGGGACGGGGCACAATATCCCCTTCAAGGGTACACTCCCAGTGACCTAACTTCTACTTAGCTCCGCCTCTTAAAGATTCCACCGATTCCCAAGAGCACCACCAGCTGGGGCAAAAGCCTTTAACACCTGGGCCTTTGGGGGTCACTCTGGTCTTGTCTATTGATATGTTTTCCTCCATTTGTTCATATAAAATGCTCATACTGCTCCTTAATATATGTTTCTTAAGTTATCAGTATTCTGTCTATTTTAGTGGAAAAGGAATTAATTTATAATAACACTGACCTCTATATCATGCTCTCTGCCTTTATTCAATATCACACTTAATTTCTTCACAGGTCATTTTTTGCAACAAGCTTATTAAGGCATCATTTTTTGACAGACTTCTCACTACTAAGATAATGACATCAGGGTTCTTTTTTTTTTTTTTTTTTTTTTTGGCGGTACCGGGGATTGAACTTGGGACCTTGCACTTGTGAGGCAGGCACCAGAACCACTGAGCTAAACGCCCGATCCGACATCAGGGTTCTTATACTACATCCACATCTACTTTCTCTTCATTGCCTTTTCCTATCTTAAATTACAACTTTCATTTTACATTAGCAAGTTTGAGAATATATATTCTGTTCTGAAATTATAATAAAATACTCCATACTTTGTTCGCAAGTGGATTCTAAAAATTAAAAATAAATATAATTTATATTTTTCAGACAAGGTGGAACAGTGTTTTCCTTTTCAATGATTTTGTTCTACTC